ACTCGGAGTGATGAGTCAAGATGCACAAGTGAGAAAGTTCTTCTAGTAATGTAGTTAGATTGCTAAGTGAAGACCCTGTCCTCCACACTCCAAGGCAAGTAATATGAAAACAGCTAAGTACACATAAGATGCTAAATATCTGTATGTCACAGGTCATAAAAAATTGCATTCCCCTTTTGACATCTGTCTGTTATTTTGTCTGATAATCACAACCTCTTCCTCATCTCAGCACTCATTTTCTTGATCAATTAGTAGCTGGTAACTTGCTTGTTAACAGATGGGAATGTGGATATCTTGGTTGGGAATTTACATACATACATGTGCTAACAGGTCGGATATGTTTTTACTTTAGGTAGATTTTCAGATATGGTGTCATATCCTGTTTACCATCCTCTCACCAATTCCATTCCCATCATCTTTTCAATATCATCTTTTCTCTATCTTCAATTGCTTTGTTATCATCTATTCAGATGGTTTTTTAAGGCCCACCCACCTTTCTTCCCTTGTTATCAGATGGTTTTTTGTTTTCTCAATTTCTTTATTCTATTTTTTTGGACAAAAGAGAGTAGTGTGTTTTAGGCAGTATTCAGAATTCAATCTTTGATTATTCTATGTTAGTTGGTTCTAAAGAGCGTGTTGCTTGTGTGTTTTATATTTTATCTATTTTTTAGATTATTCTTTTTTGTGTTTATATTTTGTTATTGGTTTTTTGTTATTGTGTTTGTTATTTTTTCCGCTGCCACCCCATAGGGACATACATGTTTTATCAAGTAATGTATCACCCTTGGCTTTTAGCCTTGGGATTGGCCCAAACCTTTTAACTTCTATGGTATTTTTATACCTAGTATTTTGTAATTCAAATGTATTCACATTTCCTGATGTTTGAAATCACAAATTGTATAGGCAGTCAAGCATTTATCCTGGATTGATCTGCATTGGGACCTCTACTTTGTCAAACTCATCCATCAAGAGAAGGTTTTTTATCAGGAAAACATTTTGTTTGAATCCAAATCCATGATAGCTTGTGATACCAACATCTACACCAATGAAAGACTATGAATACCAAGATCCATTGATAGGTGATTGTGGTAAGGATATTGTTAACCTATTTCTTTCAACTGTTTTGGCTTGAGTCTGACTCTTGTGATTTCCCAATTTCTAGTTTCCTTGTTGCAAAGTTTTTCAGCTTTGCATTGCCAAGACCCAATGTGACCTTTAGAGCTTGAAGTTTTGATCATAAATGGTCAATTGATGCAAAACATAGCTTATTCGGAGACTACATCACATAAAGCAAGGGAAAAGATGCAAAACATGATTATTACAAAAGGAATTCTGTGGCAAATATATCCCAGTTGTGTGATTGGACTTCATCTGCAACACATTGACTGTATACGGGCACATCAAGTGCTCCCATGACTACCATAATATGATTGGTACCTTTGAGAAATAAATTGACAATGTCTGACCATGTTCTTGAATTGATTGCCAGATATATCAAACTGGGTTAAGTTTTCAAATGATCAAACTTATAAAGTGATGAAGATACAACACTGACTTTGTAATAACTTCACGCAATTGATACATTGAGATCCAATGCTGGAGGTATCTTAATTAGGGTTGATCTAGTTGAATCCACTTTTAATGTCAAGCACAGACCAAATTGTAGAGTCAGCTTGATCAAAGTAAGATGATGATAGATAAGGAGTTGAATGATGTGTTGACAGTGATGTGAATTTCATTAGATCAATCTTGAGCTTCAACAAAGTAAGTTGAAAAGGGATGTTATGTTATTATTATAGAGGTTGGTCATCGATGATGATGATGATGATGATGGACAGGGACTGAACTTTTTACATGCATCTTCAGCTGTTACTTACAGTTTATCTGTTCACAACTTGACACAGTACTTGATCTACATCCCATTTGTGTTTTTGTTTCCAATGGAGGATAACCCATTAGCAACACCATGTTGGGAAAGCTGTGATGTCAGTAAAGTAACCTAGCCTTGCTCAAAGACTTGGCACATTACTTTATATTTGGTTCCTCTCCTTCCCACTCTCTTCACTAAACAATTTACTCTCAAAGAACAGTTTAGTTCTATCTTGTAAAAAAATCATAAGACCGTTAGCTTTAGTAGCTTTAGTTGTGCAAGGGATTGTAGATGAACTTCTGATACAATTTTTGAGTGTCATCCAAGACAAATCAACTTGGGAGTTATATTTATATTCCAAGTACAGACAGAATCAACGGTTTCTGTAGTCTCAAGACCCAATTAATTTATACAAAGTATATATGGGTCTTGTTAAATAACATCACCACCCAGCAGACAGCTGTACTATAGTCAATTTTGCTTCTGAAGATGGACGAGTATCAATAATTTGAACATGATCATAGAAAGATTACCATATTGAAGAAGACAATCAGTCATTTTGCAGCGGAAACCACCTTTATCACTTGTAATGGCCATCAGAGCTGAAGAGTCTTCATGGGAAGGCAGGTAGAAATCCAAATGTAGTTCCACTTGGCCGATTATTCAGATTCAAGCCAAGATTCAGATCCAAATATTTTGTTCCACATTTGTTCTCAGATAACTGGAGCTAAATGTAAAACAATGATAAAGATATGAGGGTATTAGCAATTGGCTGATATCAGCTTTTGCTATAGTTTTTCTCAGCTTGCTTCACAATCAATACCAAACAGGAAACATGAGTACTGAGACTTGAGTAGAAGGAGTGGTGCCAGAGCTTAAGGCAGAATTTAAAGGCCTTATACCTGACATTATAATTTGGGAAGAGGTTTATTTATTTCTTCTGAAAAACGAAAAAATACAACATATTTGTTCACAAAAAGATGATAAAAAAGGATAAGATTTAATCCATGACAATATGACTGATTTAGATTATGGTTCAATTTGAGCAAGCTTATCATCAAAGTTTGCATTTTGTCTCCACAAAACTCCTCAAGATATCATGATCAATTTTAATTCAATTCACATAATATTATCTAAGGAAAAAATTAATTACATTGATTGTAAAGAAGAAATCTCACTCCCATCAAGTTGAGCTTTTTCAGTGGTTGAATTCCATTTTTCCTGATTGAGTATTGTTGAGGTGAATTTTCATTGAATCAGTCGTCCAATTTCTAATTTGTTCACAAATTGCAACCTTTGTGATTTGTGATCCAATACATTTTTCAGTCATTTCAATTACTATCTGGGTTTCATCTGTTTTCCTAAAAAGTCCTACCCTTTGCAATGGTTTTGATGGGTTTTGAGTGAATGGCTCAATTTGGAGAACCTGATCTATAACCTGTTGAAGAAGCAAAGACAGTTGAGCATACCAATGATCAAAAGGGAATTGTGAAGAAGTAAACTGACATGGTGAGGTTATTTGTGTTTCAGTTGATCTTGAAGCTGAGTCACATCCATGAATGATCCAATTACTCAACTTGGGATGAATGATGATCAATCAAGTTAGATTCTCAAGGGGTGATTAATGCTGGTCCGTAGATAAACAGCAATATTATGATTGATGTCATTAATAATTTGGAGAATGGTGGTCTCATTTAGCTTTATCTTGGCTTGAAAAACAACTCAAATATCACTCTTCTACAGATGGGAAAGATATTGATAGATTAGTTGAGATTTTGATGAGTTGAATGCAAGGATTCAAGTTGAGAGAACAGGTTGGTTGATTAAATGTGAAGTAAAGTTCTATCTTGAATTGTAAGCAAACCTGCTTGAGTGAGATGGTTTAATAATTGATTGTCAAGATTTGAATTGACAATCAATCTGATCTAAAGAGACACTTCATTTGTCCTAGTTTGAGTCTTATTAAGTTCTGACATAAATTAAGGGAGGTGAAGAACTCATCTTGAGTAATAAGGAGACAATTGATTGAAGTTGCAAGATTCAGATAAGATGGTGGGTAATCTTGAAATTGACTGGGAAGAGGAATCTATCTTGATAGGAGTTTTGAGGATGAATCAATCAGTTGATGATACCCTAGAAGCGATTTTAATCAAGTCAGAATTACTCATAGAAAGAAAGGGAACTTGCCTAATTTCAATCGGAATAACAGAAGAGTGATCCAAAACTGAAATCAAAAGCTTGGCAATGAGGATTGTTAGGTGACAAGAATGAAGAAAAGAAATCAAGATGAATCAGTTGAAATGAATAAAGCTTCAAGAAGGCTGGGATCGATTTGAATACTGTTGGAATCAAACCAAGATCAAAGGAAAACTTGCCAAGAATATAGCCCAGTGACAAACAAATTGCGGAAGTGATAGGAAGGAGGTCCATCTAAAAGTTTGAACAGAACCAAGCGAGTCAGGAGAGCTTGGAAGCAAGAGGAAAAATATTGAACAGAAAGAGGATACCCAAGAGAACACTTGAGCATGGGTCGATGAACCAAACAAACAGACCAACCAAAGGGAATTTCCCATCCGGATCGATTGGCTCTAAAAGAATCAAGAGGAGCCTCTGTGTTGAATTGAACTTTTGAAAGCAATGGCTGAAAAAAAACTTGAATACAAATCTTGAATGTGATTCCGGACATTTGCATACAAATAGTTTACATAATTAGTGATTTGATTGAAGTATTGCCTGAAGAAAAAAAGAAATGATTCAAATGATCTCTTTTAGCTCTTGATTGGTTCATTGATCCGATGTGATTCCAATCAAAGTTAATAAAAGATAACTCCTGTTAGTGTTCTGCAATCGACTGTTGTAAAAATGATAATGTTAGATTGATCTTTAATTTCGTAGTGAGACACCTCAATCAAATTCTAAAAGGAACTCGATTATGTTTTAAAATCAATGACTTGATTGATTTGCCTTATCAATTATCGATCGATTTGATGCCGATCAAGACTAAGTAATTCTAAGTTTCAAAGAATACGTCGATGGCTTCTAAGCCATTGATGGACAACATCCTACAGGGACCACTGTAAAGACCGACAACTGGCATGAGCGCCCACCAAAGCACTCGGTGTTCGTGGGCTTAATCGGATTCCAACTGCGACCCTCTACTTGAGTCACCATGTGCTGGGTCTCGGTGAAGAGCGAGATCGAAGGCGAGAGTCATGGCCTTGCACTTCAATTCAACAAGTGCACCAAGGTCTTCTAGTCCGTCAAATCGCTCGTCAAACCAAAGGGCCTCAAGAATGATAATGAGGCAAACTACTGCCTTGATCTTTGGATTACTTTTAAAGTCTGAGGAGTAGAGTCAAGCAAAAACAATCAAAAGATGGTCACTATTCATATGACATAAGATCAGCAGTCTATGACTGTTTCAAACTTACTGGCACATTTTAGACATTCCACGCTAGCATCAAGCCATCGTTTAGAGATATTTTCCCGATCTGCCAAGCTCAATGGGAGTTGCAACTGAGTGGACTTTTCGAAAGGGAGTTTCATGATTGACATTCTAGCAATAGCATATGTTGTGGCCATAGTGATGAGTCGATAAGCAGCTTGACTGTCATCAATCTCATGACCCTCTGAGTCTCGATGATGATATAATTTATGCGCTTCAGCTTCGTAAGCACAATGATTGAAACACAAATGATACCAAGCAAACTGATGGACGTAGATCTTTAGAAAGTGTTGAGCTTGTTTGTATGTGGGAAGTTGTCGTTGAAGATTGGTGATCTGTTCATGTGCCAGGATTATTTGAAATCTGAGCCCAGGTGGACGGAGAGCTGTTACTTGATCGGCAGTGTCGTCGAACCTATGACATTCAAACTATAATTAGAGATAGAACATAGATTGTTCAAGTAGACAAAAGATACGGCAGACTTGTCATGAGAACATACCTTTTCAACTATAGGAGGGTCTTGACCAATTTCAGGAGGGACGGTACGCGAGACCATAATACTGGTGAGCGTAGCTGCAACGTAGTGTTCTGTGTCATAGGAAAGAGAAGCAAGCATAAGCCTGACAATCGTCCCTTTTGATTACTGAAAACGATGAACCTCCAAGATCGACACGTGAACTACGGGCTTCAGGACCTAGAGGATCAACCCAAGGTCTCATTTGAACGACTGAACTGACAAGAGCTTCAAGACCATCTAGCTGTTTGCGGAGCCTTTTGATATCTGCTGGAGAGATGGGCGCGCTAGTGTACCATAATCAGCAAGACCATCACGGCGAATGACGGAAAGTGAAGACCAAAATACCGAGATGTAAAAATGCTTGGAATAGTTAGCAACTCATTTCAAGGCCTCAATGAAATGACATAAAAAAGATTGCTGATATTTGGTAGCAGCAGGAGTGGAGAATATAATTTGCACTAATTTAAGAAATGAAATCAATCAATTTCTGTATCAGATGAAGATTGGAGAGTAAACACTGGTGAGCAGAAGATATACCACTGACAGAGCCGATTTGATAAACTTTTAGTTGCCTTGAAAATCCAAAATGTTCTGGGCTTGTTATTGATCTAATTGGGAGATGCCAATATACTGAAGTAAGAGGGGCCCTTCAGTAGCAACAGATATCATAAGATCTGACTACTTGCCGAGTACCAATCGATTTGCGAAGTGGATGGGGAGAATCCAGAGGAAATCCCACTAAACAGTAATTTCAATATTTGAAACTTGGATTTGCTAAGCGAAAAGAGTGACCTTTTGAACAATTTCTGGATTTTGTATCAATTCATAAAGCGCATAGGAAAAGTCAAAAATACATATTGCTAGACCGTAACTTCGGCTGGTTGAAACTTGGATTTGCTCCGCAATAGAAGTAGCTGTTTTGGACAATTTGTGAATTTTGCTCAATTTTGTTGTTCGCGTTTAACTTGAATGATGAATGATGATAATGATGAATTGCAAGTACAAAGATTGTTGATTCAATTTCAGAAATTTCAGCAAGCAATCAATCTCAATTAACAATTTCAATCAGATATACCAGCTTGGTGACAATTTTTGTAAACAAAGGGTAGATAAGAAACAGCCACTGAAATGTATCAATCATTATGTGAATATCGTAAATGGCAAAGTTTGATATTGTAATTGGAATTTCATCATGATCAGGTTCAAGTGTTTCCAACATCTTGTTTTAGTCACAAACTGGTAGATTCCAAATTCCATCAAAATGACTTTTGGATCAAAAGAATAAAACTGGAGTGGTATTAAGAATGATGGACAATCATGTGAAGGAAATTGACAAAATGGAGATTGGTATTGAGGGTTTGAAAGATGTTGTTTGTGTATCGAGTTGTTCAACCAAAGGTTCAAAGTGTAATTTGTGTTTTAGGTTCTTGGTTACTGTCCTGGTCGATAGAGAAAAAAATCAGTTCAAGTGATCAAAGAACTTGAAAAAGATCAATTTTTCTGAGGTTGTAAGAGAGTTCTTATGACATTGATTGATGAGATTTGAAAAAAGCTACTCACAGTAGTTGCTGGAGTGGTGTTGCCAATGTTTACCATATTTGATCTTTCTGAAACACATGAGAGTTTCATGGTGGCCCTGAGGCAAAATCACCGCCACCCCTTTCTCACTACAAGAAACATAACATTTTCTGGGCAGAAAATTAAATTATTTGTATACAAAAATCTGGAAAGGTCAGAAACAGAGCAAAAAATATGAAAAAATATGCATTCTGTTCCTTGGTTTGAGATCTCCAATCTGCATATTTTTCCGTATTTTTGGGGTTCATATTGGTGAGTGTACTAACAATAAACCCTCATAATCACCAGATTACCACCTGTAACAGATGCTGGAATTTGGCTGATCAATGCTGAGAGAAAATTTTGATTACTACAAAACCCCATAACTTCGTCAATTCTGGCTCAAAACACTCGATTTTGAGTGCATTGGAAAGCTGGTATTTGCCTGAAGATAGTTCATAAATGAACCAAATACGTGGCGGGCCTGAAAAGAAAGATATCCCCAATGAAATCAAATTTCACATATCATTGAATAGAATGTCAGCCATTGGGATTACACATTTTGAGTCAAAACGAAAGTTGTAGTTCAGGAATTCAGCTTTCTAATGCACCCAAAATCGAGTGTTTTGAGCCAGAATTGACAAAGTTATGGGGTTTTATAGTAATCAAAACTTTCTCTCAGCACTGATCAGCCAAATTCCAGCATCTGTTACAGGTGGTAATCTGGTGATTATGAGGGTTTATTGTTAGTACACTCACCAATATGAACCCCAAAAATACGGAAAAATATGCAGATTGGAGATCTCATACCAAGGAACAGGATGCATATTTTTTCACATTTTTTGCTCTGTTTCTGACCTTTCCAGATTTTTGTATACAAATAATTTAATTTTCTGCCCAGAAAATGTTATGTTTCTTGTAGTGTCTGTGTTTTGTGTTTTCACTACACCAAATGTAATCTTTACTGGGCGGTAAATAAAACTACTGACATAGAAAAGTCCTGAGGCAACAGGAAGAGAGCTAAAAATCTGAAAAAATATGCACCTTGTTCCTAGATGTTGGGGCGTCATGATGAGTATTTTTTTGTATTTTACACGCAGATATTGGTTTATGTACTAACAATAAACGCTGAAAATCATCAAAAACTCACATGTAACAATACCTGAAATATGGGTCATGAGTATGAAGACAATATTTTGTGGTCTAAAAACTTCAATAACTTTTGCAATTCTGCTCCAAATAACTCGTTTTTTGGTTCATTCAAAAGCTGAACTATTCTCCTTCACACTTCATAATGTTAGTAAGGTGCTATCTAGTCATTTAAACACTCTACATATGTTCAAACAGTTCTGCATGAATAGCTCTGTAGGATCTTTTTTAGACCAGCTACAGATATGATGTCTCAATGAAAAATGTAGAGGAAAGGCTCACCTTTGCAATGCACTTTAAACCGAGTGATTTGATCCAGAAATTCAAAAGTTATTGATATTTGAAGATTCCAAAATCCTGTCTTCAAAGTCAAGGGCCAAATTTCAGGTATTGTTACAGGTGGGTTTTTGATGATTCTCAGCCTTTATTGTTAGTACATTAACCAATATCTGTGTTTAAAATACAAAAAAATACTCGTCATGACGCCCCAACATCTAGGAACAAGGTGCATATTTTTTCAGATTTTTAGCTCTCTTCCTGTTTCCTCAGGACTTTTCTATGTCAGTAGTTTTCTTTACCGCCTGGTAAAGATGACATCTTGTGTAGTGTTTGTGATTTGTGATTTGTGATCTTTACTCGCATCATTCAAAAACGTCCCCAGCGCATTCTTCAGTCTCAGTGTTGACTATATACCACTTTCTTAACCTTCACTCTGTCATAGGTTGCTGACCCAGATATCCAAAAGCGGATTAAACACTTTTTTTTCTCTCAAAAATTCAAATTACACACGATAAGTTTGAATCTCAAAATTGAGTTGAACCCATGAATCACAGCCTCTTATCATTTTGTATCAATTGGAGACTGACAACTTGATATTTTTTCTTCAAGAATTTCCATCAAATGACCATCTTCATCTGAAAAATATGTCGACTTCTGCTGTTTTACAACTGGATCATGGTATATAAACCACATGAGACTCTAATAAAACCGTTATTAGAATCAAAATCAGATAGGTTGGCTATTTTTCATGGGTGAATCAAAGGCAGTTAATGTGATCCTGATCAAAGTATCAAAAATATCATATCAAGAGTTTGTATCTATTTAGTACACTTCTGAGTAGTCTCTTATTCTGGGTGAAAATATTTGATAGTCATCTATGAAAACATCATGCATGCCTCAAATGATTGTTAGGTACATAGTACAATGAGATTAAATAACAAAGAGGAAGGCTTTATCCTAATGTGAGAAAATTAGTCAATGATATGAAATTCAGTGAGTGAGCATGGTGATTGAGAGCAACAGTCGATAAGTTTGAGGAGAAGTCCTACTCAACTGTATTCTCCTAAAGACTTGAACAATGAAGATTGCACCAGCATTTGATGTAACACTGGTGTAAAGCTTTGGGTCCATGTTTTGATGCGGATGGCTGAACTTTGGAATCGACAGAAGTAACCTACATTTTGGTATGGGTGATCACTAAGCAGTTAATATGTTCAATATTGATCTTACCCCAAATCGAGTTGCCGATCAAGTTTCTTGACGTGATAATCTCCCTGATAGACGCGTACCTTGATGGCATAAGTGTATGCAGCGTCACGATCGAAGTAGAATCTTCAAAAGTTGATTGAGGTGAGATGGCGACCATTTCTCACCTCTTCTTAGCTTCACAAAGCCCTCAGAGGCCTCTCCTATGTCCCATTTCATGATAAGTAGATACCATAGAAGTTCCCAGTTCGTCATTGATGTCGCTTCCTTGGATTGATGACGATCGCTTGTCTAGGATGTCCTCATCTTGAAAAATTGCCAATCGCACGTCTGATGCACTCGCAAGGTTTCATTTGTACGTTGTGGTCTACATCGAGATAGAATCGATTTCTGGGGTTCTGAAAGGATGAGTGAGAAGCAGTGAGGAAAGTATCTGGGACGTTTTTGAACGATGCGAGTAAAGATCACAAATCGCAAATCACACAACGCAAATCACACAAAGGGGTGGCGGCGATTTTGCCTCGGGGCCACCGTAGAGCTTTGAGTCGATTCTTAGTTGTTCAATCACCGCGCCTCACATTCGTTCTTTGTACTTACTATCTCCATTGTAATCTGATATAAAGATGAAAAAATGTAGAAACATGAGTAAGATGTGTGATCAAATCCTCTTTGCCTCGTTCACATCATTCTTTTGACAGATGTCTCTGATGGTGAGAGATATTCAAATGAGTGAAGAAAGCTTACACAGATGATAAGACCACAGATCCCTTTTGGAGACCACGTGCTCTTCATCCGATGTCTTACGTCCTGCTTATGGTTGTCATCCTTTTTGGCGTCCGAAGAGTGAAGGCAAGTGAAGCAGATTGTATCCGCGATATCCTTTGCTGCCTCGGTTTTTGTTTTGGGAAAAAGACTGACTGGGCGTTCGAGAGCTGACTCGTTGCGAGATTTTTCTCTTCGTTTGCTACTCGGAATCGCTTCCCTTGTCTCGCTTGGCTTGACGTTTCCAATCGGGTTTGAAATTTTGGCGGCATTGGATCCCAATTGATGTGTTGGAGTTGGGATTGGAGTTGGGACTGGTGTTGATGAATAAAGTGAGTGTTATTTGGCTGATCGGGATTTCCTCATAGTCCACAAAGCCCTATTGAAAGTGAATTAGTAAAATCATTGAATCATCTGTTGAGTCATGAAATTGAATGATTGATTCCAGCAAAGTTTTTCTCTTAGTCTGTGAACCAGTTTGGTGATGAGTAAGTTGAGAGGTTAGGAGTTGAAGATCTGATTGAAGCAGTGAAAGTAAATGATATGTACCAAACTTCCCAAATTGACACCACTTAATCAACTGATGAGATATTCAAATGTGATTTTTTGAGCCAATGGTGTTGAAGATTGTTCTTGTAATTGAGTTTGGCTGATGGAATCGAATGAAATCACTGCGTATTTCCATTCAATTTGCTGTTGGTATCAGGGTAAGTTGTGAAAAGCAATAAGCACATCGAATCTAATTGTTGCAGGGCCCAAACTTCAGCTAGCTTAAACTTGGATTTCTTCAGTTAAAGAGCAGACAATTTGTGCATCTGGTTTGAATTTGTCGATTTTGTATCAATTGCTGGTTTGCCTTCAACTTGAATATGATCTAATGCAAACGAATGATGAAGATTGGTGGATGATTGGATAAACTATTTCATGGTTGACGTTTAACTTGTAATGAATGATTGTTTATGAAAGAGAAAAAAGTAAATCTCGCTTGACCGTAACTTCGCTTGGTTGAAACATGAATTTGTTCAGCGGCAACAGTGGAGGTTTTGGACAATTTGTTGATTTTGTTGGAATTCATTGTTCGCCTTTAACTTGAATGATCTAACTTTGATTGTGACAGGATCACAGCCCCCAGCTACTAGGCTCTGGTAGGCCAGAGATTACCACGGCTTCATGAAAGATTCATGAAAGATTCAGAAAGATTTCAAAATGACTTCAACATAATATCATATGGGGCCATTTGCCTGTCCAACCAACAAAATTCCGATGTCATCATATGACATCATAAATCTGTACACACCTGCTCCGTATTCACAGATCAGGCGGGTCTCATTTATCTTTCTTTGATTCCCCGGCTCTACTGTTGTTCCAAAAACCAAATCTGAGTGGCTCTAAGAGATCTGTGAGCTTCTGTACGCCTGACAAGGATACAAAAAAAATTAAGATTGAACCAGGTACGTAGGCCCTTTTGCTATATCCTACACTCCTTTCTCTCTATTCTATTCTACATTCAACACTCACTGATTGTTACTCATGCATGTCTGTAGGCTTAAACTCTGAAGTCAAGAAGGTGCCAAATAAAATTGAGCGCAGTAAGTAGGCACCAGTCTGCACATACCCAAGCGGGTCTTCCCTCACCTTGAACTAATCTGATTTGATTTCATGTCATGGTTTTGTAGCCAAAAGCCTAACCATTGTGCTGTCTTCTGATCCACTGTGTCCTATCATAAAAGAGGAACCTAGTTTGTCTCTTCATCATTGTATTATGTTTTTATATCTTCTGGTCCTATTTGTTCTAATTATTCATGCCTCCATTATGTAGGCTCCCCCCCGGAATTGGCAACAGTGTCATGATTGTTCTGTCCTCAGACCCCCTGTTGCCCGACAATATTGATACGTTGCAAGAACATAAGGAACATATCAAGAAGGAACCAGTTATGTATCTTTCACCATGTTGTTGAATCCTTGAAATGAGCCAATGCTGACAATTCTTTGATAGCTTGCTCACTTATCTGCCACTCCATGCATCTTAGGTCAAACCAGAACATTGGAACTTCTGGCCGCCAACTCAGAAAAAGGCGCCAGAGCTCACACTGATGCTTGAGAAAGGTTTTTGGAACATTGCAATGTTCCAAAAGAAGACAAGTTTACCAGAGCCATCCTTAAATGTGCCGGCGTCACCTCGTGGACCAATCTCATACCCAGTGTCCAGTTCACAGAAATGTCTCTTACTAGTTGCGGCATGCACCCCAGTCTGGCGTCCTTTCTGCTCACCGAGGCCATGGATCAAGTGAATGGTCTCACAGAAGAGATCATTGAGCTTCAAGATGAAGAAGAAGACCCCAAGTTTATGTCCACACCTCCTGTTCCAGTATCCCCAGAGTTTTGACGTCTGCACACATTGCTCAGTTGGATTTGTCTCACCTTCTCCCCTGCCAATTTGTGGTCTTTTGTAAATCCATCTAATTGCCTCACCATCCCCCCCTCTCATCTCATGATCTTTTGTAAACCCATTGATTTGATTCACCATTCCCCCTCATATTTTGTGGTCTTTTGTACACTCATTCATTTGAATTGCTGGCCTTGTTTGATCTTGTAATTTAAAGCTTTGAGTGTTTGGACTTGCAATAATTCAGCACCCCGTGAACCATCTGCTGTCATGATCCGCAACTAGATGTTTTGAACATATATATATGTTCAAAACATCATCTTATAAGTTAGCGATGACAAAAACATCATAAACATTATTAGATGTTTTTGGCATTGAATGAAAACAGATTGATTTCTTTTCTTCTTAATCAAGTAATTGATTAATCATTTGAAGATTCAATCTTTTGATTGATCTTTTGAAATAATCAATCTTTTGATTAAACTTTTGAAGTCACTTTTGAATGAATCAAAATTCATATCAATACTCAAATGATTGATATGAGTGTGGATTTTTCCTCCTGATGATTGTCAATCATAAGGATACAAAGGTTGTCTTCCTTTCTCAGAAAGTTCAAAGCTTTCATCAGAATCCAGTGGCTCTCGCTTCAGGTATTCCATCACAAAACAACCAGGAAGCATACATCAATTCCTGAATAACCAGCTTGGAAAAACATAATGAAAACTCAAACACAAGTTTAACAATCAAAGAACCAACAACATCTTACAAGTCAATTCATGAAGAAAAATCTTGATCTGAAACAAGTGGGTCCAATTGACCATTGGAATATCATACAGAATAAGAATTGAAATCACATTACAACCAATACAACATTTATTTTATGAGTTGCAAAACACTCTGATTTGTAACTAAAGACAACCTTTATTTTATAAGTTGTAAAACACTCTGATTTGTAACTAAAGACTTATACGGCATAATAATTTCTTTTGCATGCATTTGTCCTACTTCAATCTTCAAGTTGAGAAGTTGTCAAATGTTAATTTTAAAAACTAAAGCTTGTTCAACATTAACCCAAAAATAATCATTGAATTTGTAAGTTGTAAAATTACTTTATAAATAGCCACTTCCTCGGAAAAATGCTTGACATGATTTAGATTTCACAAAATCTCAACATGAATTGCAATTAGCCAGATAACACTTGGAATGAAGATGAATTCAACTTTCAATTTCTTTCTGTTTCTGATTGAGTTTCATTCATTTTAACTTATCAATCTTTTCAAAGAATAGAACACATAGCCCAGCATTTTATTTATCAGACTAACATCACCAAACCTGATAATGGAATATTTTGTTCAAGTATCAGCATTATCTTCAAACTTTCCTAAAGACTACGAAAGAAATTAGGAATGCCACAGTAAGACATTTAAACATGGTTTTCACAAAATCTTAAAAAGGATTGCAATTAGCCAGATAACACTTGGAATGAATACAAATTCAACTTTTGATCTCTTTTTGTTTCTGATTGAAAAGAAATTGTATTCAATTTATGATTTTTTTGTTTTTCACCAAATTTATTTTCTTCCAATTCCTTGAGAAATACAAACCCAAATCAATCTTCAACACATTACTAAATTGTATGCTATGGGTCAAAAAATCGAACTGAAAAAAAGTACCAAATATGCCTGTCTTTTACCTTTACTAACTGGATCAAGATATTCTAGAACTTTATCCTCTTTCATCGCCAATTGTCATATTTCCAATCCATCTTCTCCTCGATTCCTCAAACACAATCTAGATCATTCAAAGCCACAAGACTATTAGTAACTCCATCTGATCGAATTCTATCAGCGGTTCTACCATATCGATGAGCATACAAAGGAATTTGATAGTGAATTACCAATTTGAAACGTAGATCAGTAGAAATCAACATCTTAAATCTACGTTCTTCAAAATCTTCAATTACCTTGGATCTTTGAATTTGTGTTAAATTAAAATAGAACGAAGAAGCTGGAATTCTAAAAGGTAATTAATCAGTGGTGAATACAAGCTTTAACATTTCTGTGGTTCTTGGTTTTGAAACACAGAATATTGTTTGTGGGATATCTATTACTGGAACTTTTGTTTGTTCATCTGCTGTTAGATTATACAATTGGCTGTGAAAAAGATTGATTGCTTATCGCATCCTTATTTTGGTATGTTGGACTACCTCTCAATCATCTCCATCAAAGGGAGGCTGATATCTGTCCGAGTTCACAAAAACTACAAAAAAGGAAAGAACATCAATGGAAAAATAATCATAGAGTATTCAAAGATAAACTTACTTATTATTCAAAAAAAACATGATATCTAAACATATACATACTCGTTTATGATATCCTTATTTTTAACAGTCTAAAAGATCTAGGTAGAAGAGAAACGAACCAATGGATGATTTCAGAAAATTGTTCAGAAAGCGATTCAAAAGGAAAGGAAGTTAATTAAACTATTCTTTCATAAATCTAGGGAAAGGGGAATCAGGCAAGTTGATCATTTCCACAAGACTTAGAGATGTTAGCCTTCAAGCGCTGGCGAGTTGATTGGTGATTGTTGATTCGAACTGAGGAGTGTTGAGATCGTATCATGGTTCAGTTCAACCAGACCCAATGAGGTTACAAATCCGGTTGTAATGTCTCAAAGGGTCACAAGGAAATCAGAGCTCTGAATCCGGTCAGAGGATGATTAGCCTTGCTGGTTTAATGAACACATTTGGTTGGTCGTTTGATTGTTGATCTGTTGATCGTTGATCCAAATTGAAGAGGCTTGAGATCGTAAAATGGTTCAGTTCAACCAGACCCGATGAGGTTACAAATCCGGTTGTAATGTCTCAAAGGGTCACAAGGAAATCAGAGCTCTGAGTCCGGTCAGAGCATGATTAACCTTGCTGGTTTAATGGACACATTGACTGTTGATGATTGAATGCTGATCAAAACGTGAACGGTCGATATGGTATTGTTGGAATCGTAGTTCGATTCAGATCGGTTGTTACTAGAAAAGCAATCAAAGGTAAAAGACACAAAACAGGTTTCTGCAAGGTGTACAGAAAATTGGAGTGAAGAGATGAAAACATGATCTAAGAAAGAGGAAAGAGACCAAGACGAGTGACAGTTAGTTTTGATTCAATCAACAAACTGACAAAGGAAATCGAACAAAACAAACTAACCAACATGTTGTGATACTCCATTACAAAGACCATCGATGAACGAATCTAATGATTGATTGTAAATATCCAAAAGACCAAAAGATGCTCCAATGATTGATGCACATTGCAGCCGGTCTTGGCGATGTTTTTAGTGAGCTCGCTTTGAGGATCTTATCCATTTGACGATAATCGTCAACTTTGATTTGATTGTCCATCTATAGATATCTCCGCAGAGAATGATCGAAGTGGGAGATCAATGAATGTTTCTTTCGATTAGGATGAAAATGATAGTCACATACGCCTGGTTTGGGAGCACCAAGTTGAAATTGAATTAGTCCGATCTTCGCTTTTTCTTTGCGAGAGGGGCCACCTTGACCGGTGATGGCATTTTGACGAAGTACAAGACGATCAACCAAGCTGGTATCCTCAATCGTACCACCAACCTTCTTGACTATCCGGATATTCTTGAGGTCAACATTCGAGTTTTTCAAGTCAGCTACCCGTTTAACTGCTTCCACTGCAATCGGAGCAAGGATAGAAGAGGATTGAGAGACGATCTTAGAGTTCAGAGAAGTGCTTGCGGCACGTAGAAGCGATTCTCGATCGTTCAGATCGACCGGTGTTGACATTTCTTCTAAATATTTTACACATTTGATTGCAGCTCTTGAGAAACTTAATGATGGTAGGATGAATACCTGTTATTAAAAGTACGCATATAACGATCAGAATGATAATCAGAGGATGGATCATCAAAAGATAATAACCTTTAGATAGTAACTTCTCAGCCGCGCCGAGTCAACTGCCTGCTAAGACTACGACAATTGTAGTTCCGTCACCCGCTGAAACATCTTGAGCGGCTGAAAGTTTGACCCACATGCGAGCAGCAGGATGCATAACACGTGTTTCAAAATAGAAGCACCACCATTAGAAATCGTCACATTTCCGTCTGCTGTCTGAATCATCTTGTCCATTCCACGAGGTCCCAAGGAAGGTCGAATGGCGTCGGAGATAGCTAGATGAAAGACATCGTGCAAACCGATAGACAACTTTAGCATTCTGGGATTGATACATGTCATTTTCTCCTGGCTCAATGGTAGCAAGTTGCCCTACCTTTCGCTGCTGTCATATTACTAGAATTAACGATCACGAAATAGACAGTCAGTACTCAACATCTTTATAGGTGTGGAGTAGGTAATCAAGATGTATTACCTCAGCCTGACTTCAATTGGTTTTTCGGCATTCTTGAAATGCTTTTTGAGGTTGAACTGATTTGGCGACTGAGCTGGCAGGAGCTTCCATGTTGTGGGGAGTTGAGAGATTCGAGTATAGGAAATGAGGTGAAGTGTTTTAAAATCTCAATCGATTCTTGCTATGTACATATCAGTGATCACCAAACCTCAGGCTCAGGGTTGACCTCGAGAGACTTAAGACATTTAAGTACCTGTTTCGGACATAAATGATATCCATAATCAGAACCTCAATCATCGTCGGTCTCCGAATAAACAAGATTCAGCTCAAAGTTCTCTTTGCAAGGTGCGTGGTGTGACGACAAATTGACCATTGGACCTCATTGGATCTGAGCAGGAAAAACCGGAAGACTCCTTCATCTAATGTATGCTCATTCCCATGGATGCAATTTAAGACGTTCTGTCTCTTACGGAGATTTTCTCTGAATTTCAGTCTTACAACGATAGCCAAGTACACGAACAGCGAGGAGGGCAGTGTGCTACCTTCTCAGGTAAGCTTAGACGATATGTTTATGGTCTGTCAAGGGGAAATGCACGCTTTGTGAATATACAGCTGATAAAGTATGACCTTGACCGTGCAAGGATCTAAGAGGTCGACGCTGGGTCGGCTACCTCGTAGACGAGATGGCCAACGTCATTTCATCTCAATATCATAAAACACCGAACGCTTGGTATGTCCCGATGGCCAGCATGATAGCCAAGTGATGCGGCTTCTCAAAGCACACCGGCGCCATCGATCACTATGTCCCACAAACAATGATTGGATTGATTGATAGTGCGGTATTGAATCCCTTGCTTGGCTACCTTTGTAGACTGCGTCAACTTAACGCTAATTTCCTCGATGTGAACTTTCTACCCACAGGGCGATTTTTGACCCAGGTAATCACACATTTGGCTGATCCATTGGAATGGGCAAAAATCGAGGAGACTACCGATACTCATACCTTGTGGCCCCTGTAACGTGATGGGGAAGGGACATGAGGAAGAAAGACAAAAATCGCATAGTTGGCTAATCCATTGGAACGGGCGAAAATCAAGGAGACTACCAATACTCGCACCTTGTGGCCCCTGTAACGTGATGGGGAAGGGACATGAGGAATAAAGGCAAACTCTTTAGAACCTGAAGACGGCGTGCAGATTGTGTTTGGTTGGAGGTGCTGTGGTTCCCTTCATTCAATTTTCTTATCATCATCTATCGCGTTACAATAATCTTCAAACACCAAAAAAATCTATTCCCTCAATTTATATATATTACTTTTCGCTTTGACAGATCCTACCATACCACCATCAGCTGAACTCACACTGATTGAACCAACGTCATGAAATCGACTTTTTTCCCTATTTTACTTCTCATACTCTACTTCAGCGCATACTCTTGGGCTCAATCGCGCACGTGTAACAGTCCTGCTGGAATTCCCGATAGCGCGCCGGAATGTGCGAAGAAGTGTGCCAGGATTAAAGTGCAGGAAGGCTACTGCTCCAGCGAAGCTGTGTTCAATGACGCCTACGCGCAATGTATGAGGTAAGACTTTTCTCGTCGGCCAAGCTCATGTCATTCTTTCCATTTGCATCTTGGCTGATCAACTTGACTTTTACAACTTCAATACTATCACAGTGACAACTGTAACGCCCAAGACAAGACAACTGGACTGAAATACTCATATAACGATATTTGTCCTGCGGATTGTAAAGGAGGTGAGTAGCAGCCCATGTTCACATTTCCGTCAGCTTGCTAAGTAGAATCTCACATAAACAATTGCTCCCGAAGCCGCCCCGACCTCTACAACCTCTTCGACTGCTCCAGCTGCGACTCGCGCCTGTGACAGCCCTGCTGGAGTTCCCGATAGCGCTCCAGCATGTGTCAAGAAGTGTGCAAGTATCAAAGTCAAGGAAGGATATTGTACAAGTGAAGCTACGTTTAATGACGCCTACAAGCAATGCATGAGGTAAGTAATTCTTGCGGATGGAATCTGTTCCGCCTTCTCAATTTATTCTGAGCTGATCAACGTTTTCGCAACTGTCCTACTCTCCTAGCGACAATTGTAATGCGCAAGACAAAACGACTGGACTAACGTACTCGTACAATGACATTTGTCCCGCGGCTTGTAAAGGAGGTACGGATGACAGTCTCTGTTATCTTTTTTGAACTAATTCATGAAAACTTACGAAGCATTTTTTCCAAAGCCGCCCCGACCTCCACGACGTCTTCGAACGCACCCGCTGCCACTCGCTCTTGCGATAGTCCCGCAGGAGTTCCCGATAGCGCTCCAGCGTGTGTCAAGAAGTGCGCAAGTATCAAGGTCAAAGAAGGTTACTGCACAAGCGAGCCTACCTTCAATGATGCCTACAAGCAGTGTATGAGGTAAGCATTCTGGTCCAAACCCCGTCATCAACCAAATCTCAAACCAACCCTTCTCATTTCAATGCCTTACAATCCTCCCAGCGACAACTGTAACGCGCAGGACAAATCGACGGGACTGACCTACAGTTACTCCGACATCTGTCCAGCGGATTGTAAAGGAGGTAAGTCGCAAATTCTTCCCGCTTTCACCCTAGATCGCAGAGCGACAACTCAACATCAATATTCTTCAGATGCTCCCCCCACCTCCACGACTTCCTCGAATCCACCAGCTGCGACCGGTTCATGTGATTCCCCTGCTGGAGTTCCTGACAGTGCTCCAGCATGTGTCAAGAAATGCGCAAGCATCAAGGTCACGGAAGGCTACTGTTCAAGCGAGCCCACCTTCAACGACGCCTACGCGCAGTGCATGAGGTAAGCATTCTGGTCCAAACCTTGTCATCAACCAAATCTTAAACCAGCCCTTGTCATTTTAAAACCCTGCAATCCTCCCAGCGACAACTGTAACGCGCAGGACAAATCGACGGGATTGACCTACAGTTACTCCGACATCTGTCCAGCGGATTGTAAAGGAGGTAAGTCGCAAATTCTTCCCGCTTTCACCCTAGATCGCAGAGCCACAACTCAACGTCAATATTCTTCAGATGCTCCCCCCACCTCCACGACTTCCTCGAATCCACCAGCTGCGACTGGTTCATGTGATTCCCCTGCTGGAGTTCCTGACAGTGCTCCAGCATGTGTTAAGAAATGCGCAAGCATCAAGGTCAAGGAAGGCTACTGTTCGAGCGAGCCCACCTTCAACGACGCCTACGCGCAATGCATGAGGTAAGAGCACCCTCGTGATCTGAATCTGTGTCTTTCTCTCGCTGATCTTTCGCTGATCAATATCTCCTACAACCTCTTAGCGACAATTGTAACGCTCAAGATAAAGCTACCGGACTGCAGTACAAATACAGCGACATCTGCCCCGGGGATTGTAAAGGCGGTAAGTGACGACTTTTTCCAGCTACCTCCTTCGTTTGTACTCAACTTAACCTGCCCGGTCCTCCCTAAGACCCTACACCGTCCACCAGTTCGACAGCACCAACTTCCACTGCCTCTTCTGACCCATCCCCCACCTCCACGACTTCATCGAACCCACCAGCTGCGACTGGTTCATGTGATTCCCCTGCTGGAATTCCTGACAGTGCTCCAGCATGTGTTAAGAAATGCGCACAGATTAAGGTCAAGGAAGGTTACTGTTCGAACGAAGACACCTTCAACGAGGCCTATGCGCAATGCATGAAGTTCGTTTGCTCTTTCTTCCACTCCACACTCTCGCGCCCCTTTCTAACTAATGATGGCCTTTTTGAACCTCGCCATTACTTAGAGACAACTGTAACGCTCAAGATCAATCAACTGGAATGCAATACAAGTACCCGGATATTTGCCCAGAAGATTGTAAGGGTGGTAAGTGATCGCCATTCCTTGCACCCCGCCAACTCATCCAAACTAATTCGTTTCCTATCCCTAAGATCCCGCGTCTACAATCACCTCAGCGGCGCCGACGTCCACGAGTTCCTCCAACCCAACTCCTACCTCGACAGCCTCTGCTGATCCAGAGGTTTCAACTCCTACATGTAAGGCTCCTACCCTGTTCCCCAACTCCTGGGTGCGTAAATTACCTCACCGACTCCAAACTAATTCGTTCGCTATCCCTAAGACCCCGCTTCTACGATCACCTCAGCGGCGCCAACTTCCACGAGTTCCTCAAACCCACCTCCTACCTCGACAGCCTCTGCTGACCCAGAGGTCCCAACTCGTACATGTGAGACTCCTACACTGATCCCCAACAACGCCCCCGAGTGCGCGAAAAAGTGTGCCAAGCGCAAAGTACAGGAGGGATACTGTGAAACCGATAGCCTTTTCACTGACGCCTACGACCAATGCCTCAAGTGAGATTGTCCCTCCATTCTCGCTATCATCACATCCATTCTCAACCGATTTGGTCAGCTCACAAGTTATACTGCATCCACTCCCACTATCCAGCGACAATTGCAATCCCCAAGACACACAACAAGGTCTGGAGTTTGATTACAACGATATCTGCCCGGCGTCTTGCAAATCTGGTAAGTGCAGTCGCGTTCCCAATCGCCACACCTTCAAAGATTAAAACTGTTATGATTTTCGTCTCACGTAGGTTCTCCAGGCCCAAGCACTTCGGTATCCCTTGGTCCCAGGACTTCCTCTGGACCCGCTCCCACAGCGACAACCTCATCGTCCTCCCCTGCTGCAACTGCCACATGCGATCCGTCTAGTAAAGTTCCCATCGCTGCTCCGGCATGTGTCAAGAAATGCGCCAAGTTCAAGGTCCAAGAGGGTTACTGCACAGATGAGAATGTGTTCAACCAAGCTTACCAACAATGTCTCAAGTGTGTACTGCAGCGGAGACTCGACGCATTTACTCTGTTGCCATACTGTCAAATCCTCATTCTAACCTGTTCGGCACGCTCCTACACATCAAAACAGGGATAACTGCAATGGAACCGACGCCTCTACCGGATTGCAATATAAGTTTGACGACCTTTGCCCGGCACCTTGCAAATCAGGTCAGAGACCCTCTGCCCCTCCCAGTCATTTACCTCGTATACTCAGTTCGTTTTTGCCCATCCTACGTTGCAGGTCCAGGTTCTGCAACTACATCAGCCGCTCCCACCTCGACCGTCTCGTCGGACGCCCCAAGCCCCACCTCTAGTAACTCAAACGCCGGTACCAGTCCAACATCGTCGTCTGCTGGACCTTCTCCTACTGGTGACACGGGATCAGGCTCTGGTCAATTACCCCCTGGGACCCCCCCATGTGCCATGAAATGTGCAAATATCAAGATAAAGGAGGGCTACTGTTACTCATCCGAGGTCTTGATCACAGCTTATAACCAGTGTTTGAGGTCAGTTCATTTAATTCACCTCGATTTACTAACTTGATGTCATGATCCGCTTGCTGATTCGAAATCATCTGTTCTCAGCGACAACTGTTCACCTGATGATTCCGCCAAAGGCCGAACTCTCACTTACCGCGAGATATGTGGATCTTCAGGTAAATGTCACCTGCTTGTACCAGCCTCACTACATACTCTACGCACCGTTCTCTCGCTTCCACGCTTTTCTTGCTTCTTCACGCTCAACACCCTCACTCGAATTCCCCGCCTCAGGTACCAGCTCAACTTCGACGTCTCCTGGTCCTTCCCCCACCGGAGACGCTGGCTCAGGGCTCAATTTGCCTGCTGACACTCCACAATGCGCGAGAAAATGCGCGAGCATCAAAGTCCGAGAAGGCTACTGCTCCTCGTCCAACATTTTCATGACAGCTTTTTCCAAATGCTTGAGGTCAGAGCCTGGAACCTTCTTCGCATCGAATACCTCCTACTGACTCCCGCGTTCTTTCTCATCGATACTTAGTGACAACTGTAATACCAGCGATGCAGCCAAAGGCCGACAGCTCACTCATCGTCAGATATGCGGCTCACAAGGTTAGCACTGTGCTCACATGATCGTCGATTCCATTTCCTTCCTATGTAATCTGTAGATCATCCGTGATTTTTCTCGCTCACTTTTCTACGCATGCAATCCTTCCTACAGAACCCAGCACCCCCTCTTCATCTGCTGCACCTTCTCCTACTGGCGAAGCCGGCTCTGGCTCCGGTAGTTTACCCTCCAACACCCCTTCTTGTGCGAAGAAATGCGCGAACATCAAAGTTAGAGAAGGATACTGCTATTCGCCTCAAGTATTGATGACCTCCTTCTATCAATGCTTAAGGTTGGTGCTCAAAACTAGAACAATCAACAATTGCGCGTCACTGACCCTCAAATCCTACCCCCACGAATTTCCAGCGACAATTGCAACTCTAACGATGCGGCCAAAGGCCGCCAGGCCACCTACCGTCAAATATGTGCCTCGCCAGGTATGTGGTTTTATACACAAGCAGTGCAATCCAGCCGTGTCCTCGCCACAGCTTGAATTCGCAATTTAACAAATTGCAAACATTTCCTTCTCGCTTCAGGTCCCAGCCCCTCTTCATCGTCTACTGGTCCCTCACCTACTGGTGATGCTGGTTCGGGCGCTGGCCTGTTGCCCAACAATACCCCCTCTTGCGCTAGGAGATGTGCCTATATCAAAGTCAGCGAGGGCTATTGCTCCTCGTCCCAAATCCTCCTTACTGCATTTTACCAATGCCTAACGTCAGTAGACAGCACTGCCCCTATATAACGATTCCAGCCAGTTAATCATCAAGCCTTTCCTTCCGTATCGATTTTCAGTGATAACTGTAACTCTGCCGATTCAGCCAAAGGTCGTCAGCTTACCTATCGCCAGATCTGTGGCTTGACTGGTAAGCATTCTGCTATACACGCACACTCACTTCCTCCCTATGTAGTATTTTTCAAACATTTCCTTCTTGCTCCAGGTCCCAGCCCCTCTTCATCGTCTACTGGTCCCTCACCTACTGGTGATGCTGGTTCGGGCGCTGGCCTGTTGCCCAACAATACCCCCTCTTGCGCTAGGAGATGTGCCTCTATCAAAGTCAGCGAGGGCTACTGCTCCTCGTCCAAAATCCTCCTCACTGCATTCTACCAATGCCTAACGTCAGTAGACAGCACTTCACTTATGTAACGATCCCAGCCAGTTAATCATCAAGCCTTCCCTTCCGTATCAATTTTCAGTGACAACTGTAACACTGCCGATTCAGCCAAAGGTCGTCAGCTGACCTATCGCCAGATCTGTGGCTTGACTGGTAAGCATTCTGTTATACACGCACACTCACCTCCTCCCTATGTAGTATTTTTTACCCTTCATTTCCTCGCTACTCCAAACTGAGCCATCGAAAACGACTGTTCCTCCTACAGGTCCCACCCCATCATCGTCGTCTCCTGGTCCTTCCCCTACCGGCGCCTCTGGGTCTGGCGTGTTGCCCCCTAACACTTCCTCATGCGTGAGGAAATGTGCAAGCATCAAAGTCAAAGAGGGATACTGTTCCTCGTCCCAAGTCTTCATCACCGCATTCTTCCAATGCTTAAGGTTAGCTCGCAGAACTTCGTTGCACCTAAAATATTACCCTATTGACCCGCGAACTCGTTCCTTATCAAATTTCAGTGACAATTGTCAATCCAATGATGCAGCCAAAGGTCGAACACTTACCTACGGTCAAATTTGTGGCTCATCAGGTAAGCAACACCCTCCCACTCACTCTCCCTTTATGCTTCCTTGCTCATTTCGCGCCGTCGCCTTCATTTTCAATCACCCCCCGATTCATTGCCACTTGATCCTCCTTCGACCTAGCCGGTGGAGGCGGTACCCCCAAAACCTCTGCAACTAGCCCCCTTCCCACTCGCAAGCCTGACTCCGGAAGCGCGGCTTTGAACAAAGCGCCTGCATGTGTCAAGAAATGCGCCCAATTGAAAGTTTCCGAAGGTTATTGTTATTCTGCTCAGGCCTTTACAATCTCCTACCATCGCTGTCTTCGGTAAGCTACTCCCTCTGGCTTTTCACCCGCTGAGATCAAAACTGCCGGATCACACCACCGATGACTTATGCCCTCTTTTCCAGTGATAATTGCGACCGGGATACTGCCAGGGAAGGTCTGAAGGTTGGCTTCAACGAAATTTGCACGTCATCGAGTAAGCTTCCCCCCCCCTTCTCGACCACAGACCTTGAATCTTCCGAACACCTTCGCTTTCTCCCTTTGATGGCTTGAACAGATCCAGGTTCACCCATAGAATCCTCTGTATCTCCTCAGCCGACCAGCGGTCCAAATCTCTCTAGCACAGCCCTGAACAAAGCACCTGCCTGTGTTAAGAAGTGTGCTCAAGTTAAGGTTTCCGAAGGTTATTGTGGTTCGGCCCAATCTTTCACAGTCTCCTACCACCGTTGTCTTCGGTAAGCCTCTATCCAATTCTCTCCATGCGCATCATATGTCATTACTCGAATCCTTCACTGAACGCTCACTTTTTCCTCAGCGATAATTGCGACCGGGATACCGTCAGGGAAGGTCTGAAGTTAGGCTTCAACGAGATTTGCACATCATCGAGTAAGATCCCACGCTGCATCTCCACTCCTAGATATCGTCACCATGAGAATGGTGCTCCTTCGTAGACTCCAGCTTGCCTGATATTAACAATATTCCTTGCCCCTCGCAGGCACCGCTATTCAGCCCAAAAACCCGCCATCCACGACCTCTCCCACTGGACCCGCTGGAAACCAAACTGGTACTGGCAACGTTCCTAGTACAGCTCCTCGCTGTGTTATGAACTGTGCGCGGATCAAGGTCCTAGAGGGGTACTGCGCCTCGCCAACCACTTTCACGAAGGCTTTCTCTCAATGTCTCAGGTCAGCTCCGGTCATCACACTCACCCCCTGCCTCCAATATCTGGCATGACCTCAATCCACCTCATACTGACAATCACATTCTATGCCTGCAGTTCTAACTGTAACCAAGCCGATGCTAACGAGGGTGCCAAACTCACCCACAAGCAAATCTGCGGCCCACATGACGGTTCAGATTCAGGAAAAACTCCTTGCGACTGTGATGGAAAGTCTTCGAACTCCTCGCGTACAGATTCTGTTGCTCCTCGCAGCATTCGTCACGCCCCCAGAGACTTTGTCCTCTAAAAATGTTGTAAACCCATCAATTCAGCTGCATATCCCGTTGAAAATCCATTTCCTCATCTTGATCAGGGACGTTGTCAACCACGCTAAATCGACTCTGTGTAATGGATGTCCCTGTTGTGTACTTACAACCTACATTCATCCCCCGTCCTCCGTATGAAAAACACTCTTGTTTTACTACATCACATGTGCATCACGTCGGAGACTCCCCACAACCTGATACTATCTTAGCCCAGCTTACACTGACACCACGCTCAACAACTAACCGGCCTGCCCCTATACATTCTCGCATCACTATTTTCTCATCAGAGTACCCTTTGTAAATGAGACAAAATATAAGACTATCTGTCTAGTATCCCAGATATCTGATCTCCATAGTTCATTTCAGAAACAAGGCAAGGTGACTTGTTGGATCGTCACTCCTTGAACCCTACTTGACCTTCACACAACCTAGCAGCTTCCAAAAACCATATCAGAACTTCCCCACCCATCACAACCTTGCAAGCTACAAACCTACATACATACTTAAAATCGACTGCCCTTAGTTCTTGATTTGATATCTTCATCGATTTTTAAACATGTCAACTCAATCTGAAATCAAATCTTTTCAAATCTTAAAGTGGATAAAAGTTATAATCCTCGGTTCGATCGGTAATACGATCGTCGGCGGTTTAACTAGTTTCATTGGATCTTTGTGTCTACAACATCATCCGTTGATAGCGATTTCAATTATCTGGATAGGTGCTTCGGCAGGTTTGATTGTAAGTCTTTTACATGCTGTCATGGTTTTCTTTACTTCTCATTTCTTCACTACTTCAATCAAACCGAATCGACCGAAAAGTTTATCACAAGAATTACTTTTGATCTTGACTCAAGCTCCGCTTTGGAGTACGATTGGTGCTACAATTAGTTATACGACGATCTTAGTTGAAAATGCATTAAAGTTCAATCATCCATCTAGTCATCAAACTCATTTATAATTTTTGATGGTTTTGTTGACTGCTTTGATCGGTACTTTTCTGATTGCTCTTTATTCGACGGTTGTGTTTTATTTTACTAAATCAGAATTTCATCTATGGATCTTACAAAACGGTTTGGTTTTATTATTTGATGAATCTTTTAAACCTTCTTATCAAAATTTGGTGTCGAATCTTGATTCTCTTGATACTGAT